CCCTCAATCAAAGTTCTGAGCTTTTTTGAAGGGAGCCTGTTGTCCCCAGGAGTGTGGGGGCTAATTACTAATTTCTCCCTCCCTGTAAGCTGTTGCTTTGCACCAGGCACAGAGATATGCATTACTGAGAAGTAGTAGTGCTGTGGTGGGGGGGGGGGGGGGGATGGTCCGGGTTCAGAAACAATTGGCATGGGATGCGTAGCGAGTAACACCTCAGACAAGCAGCATCTGCCTGTAAAATAATAATAATTATAATAAATTGGACGGATAAAGTTGGCAGAATTTCTGACAGACAGCAGGTGGTGCTGTGAGTAGGGATCTGTGGCGCTCTCTGGTTTCTGGTTCATCTCCCAAGAGGGGTAGCACTGATGACCTCAAAGGTGACCAGAGGGTTTCTGGTTCATATCACGAGAAAAGAATTACTGATGACCTCAAAGGTGACCAGAAGGTTTCAGGTTCATATCCCAAGAAGTGTTTTACTGATTACCTCAAAGGGGACAAGAAGCTTTTAGGTTCATGTCCTGAGATCATCTCAAATGCTTTGTCAGGATTTTGAAATATGCCTCCCAAGTGAAGTGTAAGCTAACTGGCATGCAGTGAGTGCAGTTAAAGAGACAGTGCGCATGTAAAAGCTGGAACGATAACAAAGTGCCTCATGTTCTCCCTGTGGGATCAGTGTGTAGCAGTGATTTCTCTGCCAATCCTGGTGCCCGGATGGGGTGGGGATACGATTTCCATGCCATCTTACTCATGAAAGTGTACGCTGATGATCTTGCGAGTGTGTTTTAGCCCATCCCTCTCCTAAGTGCACACATCCGCGTTCGTGACTCTGTGGAGGCTGTGTAGGTTTTCTTGCCTCTGTGCAGTGCGCGTGCACGGGCGTGGGCGTGCTTGTGTGTGTGTGTGTGTGTGTGTGCGCATGTCTTGCGGCTCTGCATCCGCTCTCCTCTGCAGAGGAGAACAGCCGAGTCCCGGTGCATATGCTGTGCTCTGAGTCAGAGCTGGACCTGCAGGATCGGCTGTAAGTGATGCCTCTTCTCATATGCTCTCTTCCACACCTCCTGGAAGAAACACATTGTCTGTAGGCTGCCCATGGGTAATAAAACAAAAAAAAACCAAAAGGAATCTGTACCAACCATTTCCCTGCGAGCGTGAATTCTTGTCGTCTGTGGGTTTCATAGATTATCGCTTCGCTCAGTTGTATATGAAGCTAATACTTTTAACTCATTTCACTTTCAGTTTTGTAGGAAGCTGCAGGATAATGAGTAAGGAGTTTGGGATTAATTGGCTGGATCTTCTCTTCCCAATCTCTAGCTGCTGATTATTCCAGAATAGTTCCAAATCAGGGGCAGACACCCGTCCTAAATGGAAAGCCAGAGGTGGGAGGTGTGAAGGCTTTTCAGAGACTGACCCGCTGCCTGGAATGTCCCCCCCCAGTATTTCTTTTTCGCCGCTCATAGGGCTGCATCATGTTACCTTCTGTCCAGATGATGACTTTAATTAGTCAGTGAATGTGAGGGGCTGACTGAGCTGCTGGCACCACAGATTTACTTTCGCAGAGCTTTAACCTGGTGTGTAAGGCTGGTTATCACCTTTTGTAGTCGTTTATGCCAGCAATACTCAACCTATGGCTCAACCCAAATTTGGGTTGTGGCAAGTTCTGAAAAGGTCGTGAAGAAGATTTGGAAATGCATACATTTTAGAACCAGCAAGGTCTTATGCTGATCCACGATCAGATTTCCTACCCCCAATCCAAGAATTAACCTAAATAAACAGGTCTTGGGTCTGCAAATGCTTAGTGTAAAACTAGTGAACACCAATCCAAAAAGCCAAACCATAGATGCTTAATTTAAAATTCACTGACACATCCAATCAGATTTGTGCGATAGGCAGTGATCGGCGTAAATTGCAGAGTGCACTGCGTGATTGATCATAGCGTTAATTTAATCCTATACTTCATACAGGGTTGCGACTGCGCTGGCATGGTAAAGATTGGGTCATGGTACAAAAAAAGTTAACCACTGGTTTAAGGGAAGGGAAATCGTTAATTACTGTTATTGACAGCGGCCTCTCTGTTCCAGTGAAGCCTTACATGTCAGAGTCACACTGTTTGGCCCTCAGAGTTGTGTACTGCAGTTGGTGGGGATACAGTACTCAACAGGTGTATTTATACTGAGGGATGTCAGTACAGGCTGGAACAGTGTCTGCACTATGACATGGTGACAGTGTACACGTCCACACTTTAAAAGGGGCGAAGTGCCTAACTGATATTTATCATGGTGATAAGTTCGTACTATGGTGTAGTGACAGAAAAACATCAATTAGATGGTTCTTTCAAACTGGAAAGCAGGAATGATATGATGAAATGAGTTGATAGTGACAGTGATACAATGAAACACTGACAGGGTGTGTCAGCTGTACAGCAGTGCAGGGGAAAAACTGATACAAAGAGGCTAAGCTGCTGTGTTACAGTATTATATGTAATAATAACACAATAATAATACTAATATTAATAATAATTATATAGCAGTACCACCAGCAGAGCAGTGATGCATATAACAATGATGAAGTGGTATAATATATGGAATATAATGGAATACGAAACCATTAATGCAGTTATATCACTGCATGGCTAGTTCACTGTAACTTTATATTATATATAATACTGTAACACTGCATGCAATGAAATACAGTGATGCAGTGCTACAGTATATGAAGTGTAATGGAACATGGATTCAGTGGTGCAGGTATATACATAGATTCAATGATGCAGTGGGCAGTATATAGAATATAATGGAACACAGATCCAGTAGTGCAGTTATATATAGAGAAATAATAATATAATAATGTTTCTGTCCACTGAAACACGCGTATCTCCAAAAATCCATTGTTTCAGTAGCATGAAAAAGCACATTTTTTCTGAAACTACGTTACAAAATAAACCTAAATTTACATAATGAAGCATCCTTAGCATCACAAATAGAAACCCGTCTATACACAGGCATCAGTGAATGGTTTAATGTTTTAGAGGGACTTAAGGTGATTGTTGTCAGTGAGGCAAATATTTCAGTGTAAGCAGGATACAAACTAATCTCACTATATATTCAGAAGTAACGATGATGTTAGCTAGCTGTCTAGCTGTCAATGTAAAGTTAAAATTAGCAACATAAAGTAATCCATACAAATGACCACAATGAACACAAATGTTAACTAGTCCAAAAATAAATACTAAATAGATGACTTCATAAAAATCTTTTCATGGGTCAGTTAAATGTCAAATGCTATCAGTAGACAGAGGAGAATGGGTGCAGGCCTTCTATAGTATAATGTCACAATCGTCAAAAGGTGGACATTTGCAGTTTACTCTGGACAGTGACAATGTGGTATAATGAAACAATAGTCCAGTGGTGCAGTCACACACACACACACACACACACACACAGATATATATATGCGGAAGGTGGTGCTGTAACTAGGAATAGAAATATACAATGATTTAGTAGTACAGTGCATGTGGTATAATTGCACACTGTTTCAGTGGTGCAGTGGTATGGTATATATAATTTTATGGCACATTGATCCAGTTGTGCAGTGATATATAAAGATACAGTGAGGTGGTGGTAACACGTGGAATATACACTCACCTAAAGGATTATTAGGAACACCTGTTCAATTTCTCATTAATTCAATTATCTAATCAACCAATCACATGGCAGTTGCTTCAATGCATTTAGGGGTGTGGTCCTGGTCAAGACAATCTCCTGAACTCCAAACTGAATGTCATAATGGGAAAGAAAGGTGATTTAAGCAATTTCGAGCGTGGCATGGTTGTTGGTGCCAGACGGGCCGGTCTGAGTATTTCACAATCTGCTCAGTTACTGGGATTTTCACGCACAACCATTTCTAGGGTTTACAAAGAATGGTGTGCAAAGGGAAAAACATCCAGTATGCGGCAGTCCTGTGGGCGAAAATGCCTTGTTGATGCTAGAGGTCAGAGGAGAATGGGCCGACTGATTCAAGCTGATAGAAGAGCAACTTTGACTGAAATAACCACTCGTTACAACCGAGGTATGCAGCAAAGCATTTGTGAAGCCACAACACGCACAACCTTGAGGCGGATGGGCTACAACAGCAGAAGACCCCACCGGGTACCACTCATCTCCACTACAAATAGGAAAAAGAGGCTACAATTTGCACGAGCTCACCAAAATTGGACAGTTGAAGACTGGAAAAATGTTGCCAGGTCTGATGAGTCTCGATTTCTGTTGAGACATTCAAATGGTAGAGTCAGAATTTGACGTAAACAGAATGAGAACATGGATCCATCATGCCTTGTTATCACTGTGCAGGCTGGTGGTGGTGGTGTAATGGTGTGGGGGATGTTTTCTTGGCACACTTTAGGCCCCTTAGTGCCAATTGGGCATCGTTTAAATGCCACGGCCTACCTGAGCATTGTTTCTGACCATGTCCATCCCTTTATGACCACCATGTACCCATCCTCTGATGGCTACTTCCAGCAGGATAATGCACCATGTCACAAAGCTCGAATCATTTCAAATTGGTTTCTTGAACATGACAATGAGTTCACTGTACTAAAATGGCCCCCACAGTCACCAGATCTCAACCCAATAGAGCATCTTTGGGATGTGGTGGAACGGGAGCTTCGTGCCCTGGATGTGCATCCCACAAATCTCCATCAACTGCAAGGTGCTATCCTATCAATATGGGCCAACATTTCTAAAGAATGCTTTCAGCACCTTGTTGAATCAATGCCACGTAGAATTAAGGCAGTTCTGAAGGCGAAAGGGGGTCAAACACCGTATTAGTATGGTGTTCCTAATAATCCTTTAGGTGAGTGTAAATGCAATGAAGCAGTGGTACAGTACCTACCCCTGTAATATAACTGCATACTATTGAAGTGGTGCAGTAGAACGGTATATGTAATTAAATGGTGCACTGATCCAGTGGTGCAGTGAGATTCTGTATTGCTCTCTTTGCAGAGCAGCACGAGCCTTTGGAGAATACCTGTCTCAGACTCACCCTGAAACCAGCAGCGGATCAGGTCAGATCACCCTCCTGCACCCTCTACCCACTGCCAGCATCTGTCCACCCCCCCACCCACCCAGGCAGGCAGGCAGGCACATGCTGTTGCTCTCGCTCCTGAATCGCTCTCTTCGTCTCTCCCATGTTACTCCGTCTCGTCACGTTCCTCTGCCATTCTCATTCCCTGAAGAGCTTTGTTGGCGCACTGGGACCCGCTGACCTCACAAGACGGACGGCCTCTTTCCCTTGCAGATCACCTGCTGTCTGACGCCTTCACTGGACAGGACTCTGACTCGACGGACACCAGCTGTCCCCACAACAACAACAACAGCCTCCAGCCACGCCTGGGCCCCCCATCTGCTACGCCTGGCCTGAGCAAGTCCCAGCCCAGCTTGCCCCTGCCGGTGCCTCCCTCCAAACGCCGCCTCTCACTGGAGCCTGGCTTCTCGGCCAAGGAGGAGCAGCAGAAGTGTGCAGAGTGCGCCCAGCAGCCGGCCTGTGTCTACACCATAACAGGGGAGGGGGGCATGTTGGGGCCCCGGGGCAGCAAAGAGAGCCTGGAGTTGGAGGTACTCAAAGGGGCCCGGCAGCAACCTCAGCTGGGGCCGGCCTCTGCCTTACAGGAATCACCGCCCTCTCATCATCACCGGCACCATGGCAACCAGCAAGGGAGTACCACTGGCCACCACCAGGGCGGCGGTGGTGGGCACCACCACCACCACCACCATGGGCACCAGCCGGGCCAGCCCCTGCAGAGCTCTGTCAGCGCCCACAATATCCGTAGCTGGGGTGAGGGGAAAGGTGGCCCCCCGGAGGACTGCACTCTGGGCTGCGAGGCCTGCAGTGGGGCCTCCTCTCAAAGTCAGCGCTCCCTGGACCTGGAGGGCTCTTCCCGGGAAGCAGGCAAGCAGCACCTCAGACTAGAGGGAATGGGAGGCATGGATCGGGTGGCTGGGGTGGAGAGAGGTGAGGGGGGCACAAAGCGGGAGGGGGGAGTAAGGCCGGGGGGTGGTGATCAGGTCGTTAGTCATCACTGCAGCCTTTCTGTATCCATTTCATGTGTCTGTGTCACCCGCCTACGCTGCCACCCGCCGCCCCTAGTGAAGTCAGTGGATTCCCCCATCCTGCCTGGTCACCAGCTGTGTACCCCCCCACCCCCCTGACTACTGCTCTCTTCTCCCCCCTCCTCCAGCAGAGGACGGCGTCAGCAACTGGTTCCCGAAGGAGAACATGTTCAGCTTCCAGACGGCCACCACCACCATGCAGGCGTGAGTGGAGAGCCGCACGCCCCGGGGTGATGCACCTCAGGGCGGCAGGGATCCTGTGGGGTCGCAGAGGGCACTTAGAGACAGTGACTGTCGGCCATTTTCCCCGCCAGACTACGCGTTCCCATCTCTCCGCCAAACACGCCAGCACTCATAGTCCCGGTCAGGGTAATTAGCACGCCATCTGCCGTGCGCAGTCTGCATCCATCCCATCGTGTCTCTGTGTCTGGCTGCGTGGCGTTCCCGAAGCCGTGTGTTCGCATGGTCAGATCACACCTTGCCCCTGCCATCCTCCTCCTCTTCCTCTCTGTCTGTTGAAGCAACCTCTGGCTTTTTCCTGCCATCACATCCTCCTCCTCGTCCTCGCCTCGTCTATGTGGTACGAATTAAAAAGACAAAGGCAAAAAACCCCAAATGTCTTTCGCGCTGCCAGCCACAGCTGTTATGAGTCGCGACATGTGAACAGCTTCTTCTTGCTGTTTGATTCCCGGTTCTTGTCTCTCCCCCTCCACTGCTCTGCTGCGATGACACAGGATATCGTGAGTACCCCCCATCTTTGATGTTCAGCCTCTGTTTCCATGTGGGGGAGGTGGGGGGTCATCCATATTCACCCTGTAAAATGTAGTGTATAGCTTCTCCCTTCTACCTCTGTGCTGACCCTCCTCCCTTCCCCTATGACCCTTAGTCCCAGATGGAAAGTTTGAAGCTATATGGGAAGTTCTATGGAAGTTTATGGGTTTCTTTTGAATACAGGTGTGTTGCAAGAGAACTGGGGAGCAATAAAGGATTTTAAACATTGTTTCCCCAGTTTGACGCCATATAGATCTTAGTGACAAGGCCCATTACACCTGCAGGGGTCCAGTCTGCTACAGGATTCATTTTCACATATGTTGAGGATTCCCCTCCCATTTTTTTCCAGTGTACTAATTGACATCACAGCCAGGCTTTGAGGAATGTAGTGTGGGGGCAATGATCCTTGTAATGTGACAGGGTTTGGTGACCAGAAGGTTGTAGGTTCAAATACCTTGGATAAAATGGGCTGTGCTCAAACACAGCGGTCTTTAGTTACGCAAGGGATAGGCAACTCTGATGCTGGAGTGCTGATATCCAGCAGGTTTTCTGTCCTACCTGATGAGCTACTATCTGCCTGAGGTGTGGTCCATCAAAGACCAGGTAGGAAGGGAAACCAGCTGCCAGCACTCCTTGATCTGGGTTGCCTACCCCTGAGCCATGCAATTTGCTTTGGACAAAAGTGATTCAGCAACAAGTCAGTGGGGAATGTCTTATTTTAGCATCTTATAGACAGCATTTGCTATCTTAAAGGGGAAATGCTCAGGCATTCAATCGATTTATCTCAATGCTCACGAGAGGTCAATAGTTCAGGTCCAAAAAGTAAAAATCCAGACCAAGATTTTGTTTCAACCAACCAGCTGAGTATAAAGAGTCATAGTCATTGAGTACTCGGTTGGTTGAAACAGAATCTTGGGTTGGATTTTTACTTTCTGGACCTGTACTTTCCACCTCACTGCTCCTCTTTGCTGAGCGGAGAATGCTGGCCTTACGTTGCTTTCTTCATTCGTGGACTTAATTTTGAGCTTTTCATGATTTCCTGCTGGGTGGACAGACTCGATCAGGGACAAATCAATTTTGATGACTTTCCTTTTTCCATTGGAAGAATTTCCCTATAAGGAGCCCAAGGAGACACTGTGATATGATCGGTATTTATCACGGCAGTCGCATTCGGTGTTCCGTTTATTAGTTTTTAATTTTTATGAGCCAGTCGCTTAGCCCAGTTCTGCCTGTATTTGGGTATCATTAAATTAACCAGCAGGGGAAAGGCGGAAAAAACTCAGCAGGGCTTCCCGCTGCCTCAGCTAATGTTCTACGTAAACTAATAATCGTATCAGGTTGCAGAAACGATCTATATCTGCATCACCAATTCTGAGGAGACGGGTGGTGATACTAATGGCAATAGTGACACAGTCTCTGGGGGCAGAGTGGGCAAATACGTTTCCCGGAAGTACGGTAACCATGGTCACGAGAGATGTGTGTGTGTGTAGCCGGAGAGGAATACATACTCAGAGAGCATGGAGAGGCTATTCGGTGTGCTCTTACCTTGCATGTGTGTGTGTGTGTGTGTGTGAGTGCGTGTGTTTGTGTGTTTCTGTTAGTCCAACCTGTGCTGTAGAACCAAGTGACTCCAGCCCAAGCGGGCCCCGTCCCCCTGTGTCCCCCTACCCCCCCCCCCCCCCCCCCCCCCC